CACACTACAACCGGACTAAACGCACGTTGACAGAAATAACCATTGTGCGGAATCGGCATTTTCAACGTCCACACACATCTTGATCATCATCATCATCATCAAACTCTTCCCCTCTTCCTCCATGCGCTTCTATATCGGTGTCGGTACTCTCCACCTCCTCGCGACAGATAAATTGTCTTGTTGTTTTGGCCGATCCGCCAATGATTTTTTTATTTCTTAATAATAGTATGTTCATGCAATTGCCCAACACAACCATCCACATTCCGACCAACCTACCAAAAAGCTTTTTCCGAAAATATTCTCTTCGCTATCGCGATCACGAGATTCCCATCGGATCCTGAGGAGATGAAGCTGTGCGATTTTCTGATTTGTCATACAACGTAATGATCTTCCCCGCCGAGAACTAATTACGCTCGGTACATGAATTTCCCGTTTTGTATCTCTCAGTTTCGTGCACTTTTCATTACATAATGAGATCACTTTACATACATCACGATCCTTTGAATTTTCTCACACACGGTAATGTCACGCCGCCGCGATGCAATTTCCTTATACGCAGATTATATCTTATATTTTCACCAATTACATCTATATTTGTTCATCCTTTAAACACGTTTCATTCACATTTCATAGTTTTAAAATAAATAATTCGAGGTGGAATGAAAAGGAATGCGATCGACGAAATATGATCTTTCTTTTAATGGTTTTTCAGATTTGTTGTTTTTTTTTTTGTTATTCAAACTACTTTCCAACTCGGACGACGGTATCGACAGACGCGCATATTAATTAACAGACGAGCAGGAATTCTGAATTTGTTTAGAAAATACAGCGTTTCGTTCAAAGCGTTGATGACTTTCCTATGAATGCAACTAATTCTGATCACCGCAACTGAATCGCGCAAAATAGGCAAAGTTCTCAATGCAATACAGCACATTCTTAAATAATGGAACATCTTGTAAGGTCATTGCACGTTTTCATTGTATTTCAAGCAAATGATTATTTTTTTTACTGCTATTTCAGACACTTTTTAACAACGTCAAGCTCGTTCTGCAAGTTACCATTAAAAACAAAACTAATAAGCTTAAGGTTAATTAGCATATCAGTTCTTCATTATACTTGATTACGATCATCTTCGAAGCCTCGTTAAATATCTCTTTTTAACAGTGTAATCACTTCGAAACGGCTGCAGGCTAACGTGCCCGTCCGTCTTTCAATCGCCCGAGAAAGAACACGTTTTTATTTTCGAGCGATCACGTTTCTCAAATACCTCAATAACTATTTCTATTCCCTTTTATTACTATTTATTTTTTTTTGTTGTTGTGTCTGCATGCGTGTGTGTGTGTGGAAAGGAATCCCTGGTCGTAGGAGAAATATGCAGCAAAGTAGAGAAAAAAAATTGTAGAATGAGGCCAGGACAAGTTTTTGGCAAGCCGAGGGAACAATTAAACGTTTGTACTGTTTTTCGCGATGCTCGCAGTGGATATGTATAATAGCATTTTGCGTGTTTGGTGGGTATTTGTTCCACCTCAAAGTTGGAGGACGCCAAACGGTTTCTAAATTTACAGACGTCCTTCAGGTAATAAATATTTGAGAGAAAAAAATATATATATATAAAGAAGTCTACGTACAATCTCTGAACGTTCAATTACCTAAACTACATGATATATAGCTTTACAATGAGTCGGTTTATCCTGCATTGGATTATTTTTTCTTTACAGCAATTAACTTAAATTTTAAAGTATCTACCTTGGGAATGTTTCTATCGCTCACGCACTTTCGATTTCTTCACGTTTCCTAATTTATAAATCAACACTTCTTTGAAAAATAAGTCTCATCTTCGAATCTATTTGGTTATAAATTAATATTATTGCTTCATGTTTTATTTAGAATTAATGTATTAAAAACAAACTGTATATTGTTTACTTTCTGGCAATTAGCTTTTGCAACAGAGTTTGTTTTAAAATCGATGACCTGCAAGAAGTTTAAGTAAGCGTGAAGAATAATGCATCTTCGTCGCTGAAAAGTAAAAAGTAAAATCTAGACTGTGGATGTTGTTGATGATGAGGATGCTTTTCTCAACGTTTTTTTATTTTCGCAATGAAGTTTTCTGGTGAAACTGTGATACAGATTTATTGAGAATTCACGATGGATGGCGAAACGCGTCGTCGCAGATAATTCTGCTTAGATAATGGCAATGCTTGTTGAAAGAAATAAGGAAAACAAAACAAACAAAAAAAAAACTAAGAGGAAGGTGGAAACGAGAACTGAATACGGAGAAGATTCTTATTAAGTGGAAATTGCATAGAGAACAGTTTTCGTATTGCGCTAATTGGGCTCGACGTAAAAAGCAATTCCTTGTAGTTGGCGATGAAAGGAAGGAGGTGTTGGTGCTCGAGGAGTTGAAGGAAGAGAAGAAGAAGAAGGATGAGGCCGAAATTCTTGAATATATTTAAATGTAAACACACGCATCTATAAATGCATATGTGTGTGTATATATATATATTTATAAATGTGTGTGTAGGGTGTTGGTTTTTAATTGAAGTTGGAATTAAATTAGTGGTTTGTCGGATAAAAGAGAGAGTGAGAGGGAGGTGAAGTGGAGTGGAGTAGAGGGACGAAGGTAAAAACAAAGAAGAAGAAAAAAAGAGCTGAAAAGTAAGCTCGGCCAAGGCACTTTGGGCCTTAAGAAGTGGTCGGATAGAAGCCGAGGCCTCCTCGGAAAGGCAATTACGGATACCTGCTTTTCTACCTGAGATTCTTATGAATGAAGTTCCCGGCTTTACTATTCTCGTCCAAGGTCCATGAGGAATAACAATGGGACTCGCGTAAAAATAGGTCTTTCACACGGCCAGAGAACAAACAAAAAGTCAATCTGAGGCGAGAAACTGTCGGTGAGCAAGTGACAATTGTTATCTGTTATCGGCGCGCCCTTCGGAAGTGATTAAAAAGTGCGAAATACCGAATCACCACCGCCCACCAAACCCTCCAACAAGAACAACAACAACAACAAAATAGAACGAGTGATGGATTTACCGCTGTACGTGAAGGAGCTGCTTTTGGTGAGGGATAGCATCGAGCAGCAGATCCGGAAGGCGAAGAACCGGAAGCAAAGATTCTGGCAGCCGTGGAAAGGTACAAAAAACTGCATATACATATAAACAAGTGCGCGATTTCGTGTGCGCGCTTTTTCCTTCTTTTCTCTCCTCTTCTTCATCTCGTTCTTCTCGTCCACCTCCACGTCGTTCCAAAGGAATTCTTCGGATTGCGTCGCGGTTTGATGGTGGCCTTGACGGGTCAACAACGTCCATGCGCTACGAACAATTTAGTCCATTCCATGACCATGGCAATAACAATAAAATGTTTAATACTCCAATTAATAAATCTAGTCCACGTGCACAACGCAAGATTTCCATCTTATCCCAAGATGGTGAGAAATCGTCATCATTCTTCTCTTGGTATTAACTGAAAACGCAACTATTCCCATAAAACGTAATTAACTTTGTTCTTCCTTCGCCGCGTTTTTTTTTTGCAGTTGACGAGAACGTCAACAAATGGATGGAGTAAAAAAAAGAAGCAAAAACATTTCAATTCTCCTCTAATTGGATTCGATGCGTTCCGGATCGATTCTGGTGTTACAAAACTTCTGTAATCTCAATGAACGTGCATACATAGAAGAAGAAGAAAGAACAGGATAATTCTGTTATGGATTTACTTCGGTTAATTAAGAAAAATACGCTGTTGCACGCATCGATTACCCAATAGAAACAATCCTTTGTAAGCTAGTTGTATTCATTAATCATCAACATTCTTCATCTGTTTTACGCTGTTTTACTCTGCTATTGAAACACGTTTCAGCAAATATTTACTTTGTAATACTTAAAAGTAATTTTGTAAATGTGAAATAATTTTCATGTTTTTACAAGTTATTTACTCACTGGAAAGGCCATAATTTTGTTTGTGATATGTAAATTGATTATCTAATTAGTATGCGTGGTTAAGTAGTAATCAAAATAGTTTACTGTGTTGAAATTTGGAATTTCTTAAAATGATATCCTAATTTGAATTTGCTTTAAGGGATTTCTATGACATCAAATGAATATAAATAGTTGTGATCTAAAGGTAGTTGAATGCAAATGTAGTTCAATGTTATTGCAACATATTAAAAATGGAATAAGAGCTATCATAATTGCGTCATTTTTGTGCTCGATCTTGCCTTCAAAGGTGATTTTTGAACGTAATTGGTTTAAGAAACGCATACTGATTCGATGAGCAAATTGCTGAATGAGTTATTGTTTAGCTGCAGGTTACGATCTCTAGAAACCTCGGGTTAAATGTTAACTCGACTCTTAAAATAACGAGAGTTTGCTGAAAATAATCCATTCGCTGCGTGCAATTGTTGACAAGTAAACAACATTGCGTTATCTGGACGAAGTTTCCGTTCGAGCAGGCGAAACCGCGCATTTCCTTTTGAGCTAAATAAAGAAGAAAAGAAGAAAAGAAATACTGCGATAATGGTGATTAGGAAATGTGGTAGAAACTATTATTAATATCGAAACGGCGATAACAATAAATCGGTGTTCTTGAACCCGGATTTCGGCGGCGTTCCTCGGATCCGGGTCCGAGAATGCCACCGCCGCAAAACGCACCGAACTTAAGTGTTCGTTTTAATCTGTTTGGGAGGGCTAAATATAAGTTTATACTATTGTCCACTGGGTCGGATCAGAAGGAACGATAGGGAGTCTAAAAATGTTTCGCTAAAAACGCGCGTCTCCTCCTTTCACGAGCCGCGCGCGCGAACGTTTGGCAAACGGCTGTGACAACAACAAGTGTGATGTCCGGAATTCGAAAAGAATCCGAAGAATCCGTAAAGGTCTATTTTCGCGCGTGCCGAACAATACGAGAAAATAAATACAGACACATACACAAGATATGTATATGGATTGGAAACATGTGCGCTACAGATTTTAACTAACTTTTTTCTTTCTTCCTTTTTGCTTCAGCGGAATCAGCGGAGTCGAAGCAGGCGGCGGCTAAGCAGTTACCCACAACGAAATGGAAGAAAGACCGGAGAACGCGTCCGGAGTACTTGAGGAAATCGGATCCGAGGATGCCGGAAGTGCTGTTGGTCGTCGGCGATAGGCTGGTCATGCCGAGCGAGAACGGCACCGCAGCACCGGCTTCCGGTCAGAATGGAAACGGAAATGGTAACAGCAGCAACGGTGCGAGGACGACGGCCGCCGACGCCCCCCTGGACATGTCCGTCAAACAGAGGGGTCTTCCTCCCACTTATTCTCAGGCCATAAGCGATCCCAGCTTCCGATCCAGCTACAGACCTGCAATCAGTTCAAATGGTCCCAACGCCAGGGACGAATTGCCCTCAGGTACGATCAACTTGTTTCCAATACATTCCTTTAAGATTTCAATATTGGAAAACCATAACATTTTAAAAATTTGAAACTCATTGCAATCTTTAATATCATTTCTATTCACCAAACGAATAGATTTACTAGTCAAAATTTAATGAATAATCATTATGAAAATGCAATGAAAAGAAGTCGTTAAGTCTTCGTGGTTTTAGAAGTAAATCTTATAATACGAGAATGGATATAATTAAGTAAGTTTACTTAGTCTGGTCTCGTAACATCAGTGTTATTGAGTAATCCAGTTTTGAGGGGACGACGGCTGTAAATTCTCTTCTTTCTCATTCTCTTTTTATTTTGTTATGGTGCGTTGGCTCAAATGTTTACAAAACATGCGACAATAAACATTTTTGCGTGCGCAGTAGCAGATGTTCGGCTTTTATGGCCGTAGGAAGAAGAAAACGAAGACGAAGAAAAAAAGAAGTTCGTAAATATGTGGGCACATTAAAAAGCAGCACGAAAATGAGCTTCGACATTATTATTATTAATATGTCCATCTGAGTCGTAAAGTTCGTTGTTTTCTATTGATTGAGATTTAGATTTTCTTAAATTAAGCGATCCTCGGGGACCCATTAATTTCGACGCTCTTTTAGTGCGCTCGTAAATTTTCAGCGCCACGCTTAGACTACGAATTGAAAGTGATTTTTATTTCTTGAAATTTAACGATTTTAATATCAATTTTGTTAATGGAGAAATCATCGAGTTTTTGAATGTTTTTGTTTTTGATAAATATTTAGGCTATAAAGTAAGATTAATTGGAAACATCTGTCGATAATCAATCAAAGAATAAAGTGTTGGTAAACATTTTATTGTTGATTGTTTTATAAGAGCAATTTAAAATAGTCAATGAAGAATTAATTAAGTGAAGTTATGTGTAATGATAATTCGTTAAATTTATTTTGGGTAAAGTACGTATAGTTAATGAGTTTAGTAGAATAATGTTACATGTTACAAGAATGTTCTTAGTAAATATTTAGGTAATAAAGTAAGATTAATTGGAAACAACTGTCGACAATCAATCAAAGAATAAAGTGTTGGTAAACATTTTATTGTTGTTGATTGCTTTATAAGAATATTTGAGAATGATTGTTATTTGCTGCATCAATTTAAAATTGTTAATGAAGAAATCATTAAGTGGAGTAATATGTGATAATTGGTTAAATTTATTTTGAGTAAAGTACGTATAGTTAATGAGTTAAGTAGAAGAATGTTACATGTTACAAGAATGTTCTTAGTAAATATTTAGGTAATAAAGTAAGATTAATTGGAAACACATGTCGGTAATCAATCTCCAATGAAATGTCGGAATACTTGAATAGTTGCTCTTAAACATGGGATAAATAGTTATTTATATTTTTTTACTTTTCGAATCTAATTATTGTTTTTTTTCTTATTATTATTATTATAGGAATTTCGATGTGCGACCCAATAATTGATGAGCATTTTCGGAGATCCCTGGGAAAGGACTACAACACAGTATTTTCAAATAACAACGTTCCTAAGGAGTTGCCGACTGTGCTGAGCGCATCGGCGCCAGTAGCACAGCAGAAGGTCATAGAGATGATGGACAATGCGAGCCTCTCCGTCGACGATCACTTCGCCAAAGCCCTCGGCGACACCTGGCATAAACTCAACAAGAAAGAGCCCACCGAGATCAAGAGCAACGCCGACGTGGTCATCATCAATTGAGGATGTTTCTTTGATCATACCAACTGTTACACACAAAACAACAGCACCGACACAACAAAATAAGTGTTATTTTCATTCTCCCCCCATCTTTCCACTTCGTTTCTCCTGTGCTAAAGGGACGTAATAATCAACCCGCTCGTATTCAGGTTTTCTCAAGTAACGTTTGGAAAGATTTCCTCTCTTTAAGAAAACTATATCTTATTTATTTATTATATATCATACGAACTAATATAACAAAAAAAAACATGTATTTAAACAACAGGAGATTTGCTCTTCTGATTAAAGTTCTAATTATATATATATATATGTATATAATATATAGAACAGACAAAAATGCACTGGGCGCAAATTCAATGTAATTGGATCTTCAAATCCAAGCATGCTGTAGGTAGACGTGTAGAGTTTCATGGGAGGCCCTGACTTTGAGCCCTTTAGGCTTTTGTTTATTTTTTTTTATTACTTCCAATCTGGCCCATGTGCAAGAAATAAATATCTCTCAGCGATACTGTATCCACCCACCCCCTCAACTCCCCAAAAAAACTACCCCCCTTGTATATATTAAGTTTATAATATTATTTTCGTCTGTGCATATTTAGGTTCTAAGATGTTTTTGTTTTTTTTTTCCTTTTATTTTCTCTCTATCTCGCAAAATTATTAATTTAATTAATAAGTTTTTTGTTTTAGTTCTACTACTTTATACATTATGTGTAATGAATTTACTACAATCATTTCTCGTACAAATTATTGTAAATGATGTTTATTTTCGAACAGAATGTTGATTGATTACAATACAAGCCCACTATATTTTTGTTGGAAATATTATTTTATTTTATTTTATTTTGGAGACAGTTAATTAAAACTTACTAAATGTGAAATAAAATGTGCGTTTCTTTTCAACCAAATACGAATTAGCAAGATTTTAAACTACATTTGCATCAATCGAGATAGATAATCATTTCAACTCTTAGTATTAACAAAATCGAAATCTTAAAGTAAATTTGTTGGAATTAACTCTGTTGTAATATTCTAAAATTCGAAGATTGTAATTCGCACACGTTATGTTATAGAGTAATTAAATAAAACAAAAATGTATCAATAGATTTATTGGAAAGATCATAGCTTTATCTTTAATATAAATGTACAATGATTCAAATAAGCTTTTGTTATCACAAAATTCGATTTCGAATTAAAGTTCCCTTAATTGTGGACAGATGGCGCTGATTGAAATAATTAAAACGTTCATATCTTACAAGATCATTAATATTTAAATTCAGTGATTGCATTAATTCAATTCTAATTGATCATTCTTCAATTTAAAGTTTTTCTTTAAATAAATTAATACGTTTTTCGAGAAATGGATTTTGAGCAGCGCTAAAATGCCCGAACTACAAACTTCGTTTGTCTAAAGATAGAGTCTTCAAATTTGATCTTCAATTAGGGTTACTTTAATTGTCGACAGATGACGCCAACTGTAATAATTAAAACATTCATATCTTACAAAGTAATTAATATTTAAATTCGGTGATTGCAGAATCAAGAAACACTATCAATCAAAAATAAAGCTTTTTTGAAAACAATAATGTCTGCAACCAAACATACACATTGTGTATATTTGGTTACATACAATAACAATTATGAAAAATTTAAAAATCATGATAACATTTAATATGTAGCGAATTGCACAACGCATATCCACATCTGATTATACAATCAAATAAGAAAAACAAATATTTTCGAGTAATTAATCTTTATCATACCGTGATTTGATCAAAATCGCGCAGAAAATACACAAAAATACTGAAAGTTTCCAGAGACGTTCGAAATCGAAAAATTGGTTTCAGTACGTTTTTAAAGCACTAAAAAGGTGGCAGTTTTCAGTTTATGATTCATTGTTGAATTATTTAATTATCTTGAAATTAAATGAAACGTAAAGATTTGACCCTTCAACTTCTACAGTTTTGATAACTCTTCGCAGGCGACTTGAAGAGTGTACAAGATATCAGTGGATTTCTTGAAATGGTAAGATTTTCAGCTTTAATGATATTGTAGTTCTTATTAGATTATTAGTTATAAGTTTCATATATTTTAACGAGATATTTCGAAATACTTAGAAATAGAACGTGTCTAATGTTGAAATAATATATCTATATTTACACTTTACGAGTAACATTTATGAATGTGTTGTAAAAACAACGATATATGTCATCACATGTATACAACCAGATTATCGAATAGAAAATGTTTAAACCAGATTTATTTATTTATTTGAAAATAGTGTTAATATATATTGTGTGTTTTCAGTTGATTGGTGAAAGGTGAACGTTGGTGAAGAAAGAGCGCTTCGAAGAAAATGGAAAAACGGTGGGAAATTGGAAAAGCCCTCCAGTTATGTGATCAATATTGACTAATGTTATGGCTATGTTGCCACAGTTCATCTATTTGGAGATTTGGGTTCGACCCCATTACGAGCCTGATTGCTTTTCATCGGCCGACGATTAATTTCCGTTCCAGTAATTGCTTTTCAATCCTGTTTTAAGTGAATCGAAGGATCCCTTCCGTTAATCACGTATCGGACTTATGTAAGAGAGGGCAACGCCGCGACTACAGTACATAAAGCTGCTCATCAGGACGTACCTAACTGATAGTGCACGGATTTCCTCGACATGAGCACTATATACATTTGAGACACAAATATATAGTGTAAACAGGTGTGAGAAGAGAGGTTCATAGAGCGAGTGCGAGAGTGGTGCGTGGGCGTTTAGATGTCATCAGGAGGTGGAAGTGGCGGATAATCAGAAAAGTAGAGTCGATGGTCGTGGTGGAGAGGATAATGTTATCGACGGGTGCAGTGGTCCAAGAGACGATGCAATGTTCTTCTACTCAGTGAGGATCTCGATTTCGAAGACCGCAGTATAAATAAATAAACAACAAAGAGGAACTGGGCAGAAGCCAAAGAGCACAATGGGCTCTACACCTAAAACAATACCTATTTTACTAGTCACAGCCAATGTAGGATCAATATTCGAGGATGTAAGTCCATTAGGAAACGTCGTTTCTCCTATAGAAACAATCAAAATAAGAAGATAAAAGAAGCTCCATAAAATCAATATATCTATGACAAACTTCAGTCATTCAACTTTGCTTGTGTACATGTTAAAAACAACCACTTGATTCAATTTCATTATTAATAGATAGCATGCTTTTAATACACAATGAGACACAGAGTGCTTTGTCTAATTGATTTTCATGTTTTTTTCTTCTCTCTGCACAGCCTGAGCCAATGCTGAAAATATGGACAGAAGAGTTCCTAGCTACTGTGTCCAAGTTGAACCCGAAGTTTATTGCACTGCATTGCCAGGAGGTGGGTGGCAAGAACTATGAGAACAGCATGAGACATGTCGAGGATTTTGTCAACCTGCTGATGCAAAGCAATGAGCTTAGACTCTTCGACAGGGTCAGAGTGTATTTGGATGAGGACTACAGCTCTGCAGAGAACTTCACTGTGAGAACACAAAAGAAACATTACTTCAGACTACAAAAAAAAAAATATATATAAGAAAACAAATAATAATTTTTCTTTGATATTGATAGGCTTTGGGGAACGTGTATTTCGTGCACGAGTCCATCGAGAACGTGATGATATGGAACTTCAAAGAGCTGGAATTTGAGGCGTGCTCGGGGAAGGAAATCCATTCGGGCAATATAGAGTCGGTGGTGACGAAGGAGAAGGCCAAATTCCCGCAGGATTTCTTTCCGAAGGTGAATACATACGCATGTAAAAATAACAAACGTTTAAAATTATTTTTCTCAATTATATATATTTTTATTATTTTGGCGCGCGACATTGCGTCGAATCTTACGCAATTGGGTTTGACGCTCGGACGTAACAAACGGGCGACGCAAGCAAACACTCGTTTTTATATATATACATATGCAAAAGAAGAGAACGTGTATTTTTTTGTTTCGTATTGTCTTGACGTCACCAGTCGTAGATTATAAAAATGGACATCTGAGTTTGTTACCAAATACACATTAAAAATTCACATTTCATAGTAAATAATAATTTGTTTTCCATTTTAATTATTCGGTGGCAGCTGCATAAAAAAATAAATAACTACACCAGCAACAACATTAAAACTCCTTTTATTTAATTGCTCGAGAATTTACATATCGCTAAACATGAACATATATTATTTTATTTTTAATTTCCCGTTCGTTCGTTCGAACTGACTGACAACAATCCATCGCTGCGAGTTTTGTAATATGAATGTAACGAGGAATTGGATCGTCCCTGCGCTTTTGCGATAATCAGGTTGGAAATGCACGTATGGACGGATTCCTGGTCGGGTCTATTGTGTAACTCTCTCTCTCGTCTACTTCGGTGACGATCAATGTTCAATTATGAAGGTATTGAATCTCGGAGCGGAATTGATTAGATTTGCGTTTAGGGTCCATCCTGAGTGCCTATTGTTCGGCATGATTCGTCCTTTGTAACTGATTTAACAGTTTTATTTATATTATAATATTATTTAGAAAATATATGAGAATAGATACTCTCAACCCTTTGAAGGGCCAGAAATTCGTATATTACTAAACCCAAGTGGGGCCAGACAACTTCGTCAAATGAATCAACATAAAAGTTTCTACTATCAAATTCATCCATTTCTTGGACATTTTCTAGAAAATTATAATAATGGCATGTTTAACTTTTTGAGGGCATTATTATAATTTTATAGAAAATGTCCAGGAAAGAGAAATATCTTTAATTTTGTTGGTATGATACGAGGAATTTTGATGAATACCAGCCGATGTTGATTCAATTGACGAAGTTGTCTGGCCCCACTTGGGGAATTTAGGAATTTCAAAGAGTTAAAAGGATTTATATCGAAATCCCGACAACCATAATCCTGACAGTGTTAAAATACCGACAGTATCAAAGGAGTCTTGGTGGAGGTTTTTTTTTGTTCTTATGTATTTGTTTATATAACAAGACGTGGAAGTCTCTTAAACATAGTTTGTTTATATACTCTATTAACAATAATGGTTGGACTCAAACAAGTTCATTTTTAAATTCATTTGTAAAGTTCTGTTTGTCGGGATTTTGTTTCGAACCGAGTTTTACATATCGTTTTCCTATTTTGCAGTGCAAATGGTCGAGGAAGGGTTTCCTGCGCACCAGGTGGTCGATCGAGGGCACCGTTTTCGACCTAATCAATATCCATCTATTCCACGACGCTTCCAATTTCATAGCCATGGAGGAATTCCCATCGGTCTACTGCAAGAACAGACGGAGGGCTCTGGAACATACGCTGCAACGTTTCCATGACGACGAGTACGGAAAGGCTCCGTACTTCCTCTTCGGCGACTTCAACTTCCGCACGGACACCGACGCCGTGGTCAAGGTAAATTTGTCTTTGCACCTATTCGTTCTCACAGATAAATGTAAATTGATTACATGTGGAGTCAGGGAGTTTCGGTGAGAGGTAAGTCCCCACTCCTTTATTCTCTCTCCTCAGAGTATTTATTTATATATCGCACTCTCTCGATTTGCATTGTTAGAGAATTTACGAGATTCGGCTTGATTAAATAACGACGGACTTGCGCGGCCATCGAGATTATTTTACTTTGTTTTCTTATCCTTGTATTATTTTGTTTACTCTTTTTTTTTTGTTCATTTTTATTTTGTTTATTTTAAATGCTTTTGTAGGTGGTTTGTGGATCTGAGGGAACGGATTTCATTATACCCACCCAGTGTGCGGGTATTTATGATTTTTATTAATTTATTATTTACTCTACTTCTCGTTTTATTTTTTTATATAATAATAAATCTGTACTACTTTGTAAACGATAATTTAAGAGACTAACTCTATTTAGTTTTTTTTTTATCTGAATTTATTTTGTAAATATTTTAGGGGTAGCTTTCACACAATTTCATCTTGACTCCATATCTGTAATTCTTTTACTATCTGTGTATGCCTGCGTTCTACTGTTTATTCTTTCTCTCGCTGTCTCTCCGTTTCCTATCGTTTTTTTTTTAAATTGCATGAATCGATCAATATATAGTGTAAGAAAGAGAGAAAACGTCGAGTAAATAAACACAATATATATATATTTCTTTCATTATTTTCATTAACTGCTACATTCGCTCATTGATGTAGGCTCAATTTAAATTGAAAATACATTTCGTTTATAGAAATTGACCGATGGTTTGCGGACTGTGCACGTCCAGAACAACAAGAATAACGAGCTGACGAAGCTGCAGTACACTAACGAGGAAAGCGAGGTCATATTGACCGTCGGCAAAAAGGAGTTCAACCATTCCGATCACCAGAACATCTTCCTGAATCCTTCAGTGACTTATGTATGTTTGTAGCTTTGATCAACTTGAAATTGATGATGTTAACGATTTGTTTTGTAAACAGCTGAAGAGTTTCGATAAGGAGATGAGCGCTTTCGAGGATAACCTGACCGAATATCCGGTCACGTTCCAACCTTCGTATCCATTCGAGGAATCCGTGGGTAAAGGCTCCTGCTACATGCAGACCAGATGCCCGGCTTGGTGCGACCGCGTCCTGATTAGCCACGCAGCCAAAGCGCTGATCGCTGAAGAGACTGACAATGTAATATATGATCTCATGGGACGCAACACGTGTATGGGTGATCATAAGGTAATAAAAACAAACATTTTTTTTTATACAACTCATCTAGAAGCGTCATGGGTGTGAATAAATCTAATACTAATCAAGGTCTCATCTGTTTTACGTGTGAGACGTAAAGTAGCGGGGGGACAACTCAATAATAATTTAGAATCTGCTTTGGGACCATAGAGAATCTCTTTATTTATTTGTTTATTTTTATTTATTTATTGTGCAGCCAGTTTATTTGGATTTTCACATGTCGATTTAAAAGGTACTTGAATTTTGAAGATACCGACAAATTATCATATTCGTTCGATTAGTATCATATGTATTGTGTATATGATTTAGAAACTTCTTCTCCCCCACTATCCAAACAACAACCCTTATTAGATCAGAAAAAAAAAACTATAATAATTACGTTGAATGAGGACTTTAATCATTGATACTGTGTTTTTATTCTTTCAATCATTAGTGCAGTCATCGCATGGTTTGTAAGAACTAATGTTAATTTGTAATTTGTCTCTATGTTAGCAAATAAGTTAACGTTTCAATTTGTAATTTAAAAATTGAAATACAACTTATTAGCTGGTATGAGAGGCACGTTGATGAAGGATTGATTGTGACCCTTGCGATCACGGACTGTGTCCATCATCGGGTGCTGTTCGTGCATGTTCGGGTTCGCAAAGACTGTGATGATATTGATATATGTTTAGTGTTGTTTTGTATAGAGATGTTTTGAATTTTGCAGCCGGTGTATTTAAGGGCGACAATCCTATCCAACTCAGGTATTATTAAATGTTGTGACCACGCGCAATACGAATGCTTGCCAGTGACTTGCCAATGTTGTCGTTCGTTTGCTTCCGTTACTATCAATGTTATAGACATGAGTGATTACATGGTGAACACGCGAAAGAGTTACACAGATGTGACGATCAACTCGAACCTTCTGCACGAGCCGATCACACGCGACATGTTATCGCACGAGCCGTACACGCCCGAAAGTGCGGACTCGCATTCGCCGAATCCCGAGTCGAAGATCGAAATCGACTTACGGACGTTGAGACGTAACTCGGTTTCGCCGCAACAGTTGAAGCGTCGCTTGGAAACGTTCCTGCTCGAGAACTCGCGAAGAAGCCCGATGACCAGGAGCGTTTCCCACAACGTGAACGTCTCGTCCTATAGATACGGGGGAGGTGGTGGCGGTGGTGGAATACAGCAGCAGTTGCACCATCACAACCACCCCTTCAGGACGAGGACGATGAGCGAGCACATGAAATCCAGTAGCAAACCCAAGTTGATATCCTCAAATAGAAGCATGCATTCCTTAGCCCGTTTGCACAGCCATCACAGCTCCAGCGACGAGGATTGGTTCGAGTTCGAGGAGACGGCCGCTGCCACCAAAGCCGGCCAGAACAAGCTCATCGAGCAAATCGATGTTAAAGCAACCTCAACCGCCAATAAAGTCGATCAAAAACGTAGCTGCTGTTGTATATTCTGAGTAGTTCTAATAGTTTTTTTTTAGTATATTAGCTCACTTACTTCATACATGTTATGCGCATTCAATGTTTTTTTTTTAATTTTATTTATAGTTTGGTTTTTATTATTATTTTTTTATAAATTATTAACTAATATTTGTTTGCAGTGTGTGACGCTTACAAAAGCAGAAACTTATATTCATATATATATAAAAAAAATGGAAAATCTTGCAATGATTCACAAACAAATCTAGTCATATTCAAGCAACAACAAAAAATAGCAACATTTTCCATCAATTTACATAACCGACAGATGCGACGGCATTAATAATCGAATCAAATGTTTTCTTTTTGTTTTATTTCCTCCTTCGAGCAGGTCTGAGCGCTAAGGATGATCGGAAATTAACTTCGCCTGTTAATGAGATCATCGACTCTTCCACCGTCACCAGATACATTTATCTTAACAGCATAGACAACCCCGTAAAGATATTCCGCGAAACTACCGTTTGAAGACTCGCATCGCTCCGCCTTCAAACGCTCCTCCTCCTCAAATGGTACAAACAAAACTTAAAATACCCAAACTACTATATTTAATAACCTGAATGTGTTTTTATTATTATTATTATCATCATCAAACGTTTTATTTTATTTGAAACAATTCGAAACCAAACAAAAAGCAATTGAATACTCGAATTAGGAGAAGTTATCCAAAATTGATGTACTTATTTACAATTGAATGTATTTCAAGTATATACAATACATAATTGTATGCCGTAAGTGGATATTATAAAAGAAATCTCTTATATAAGTAAAATGGATTTATAAAAAAAATAAATAATATACTAGTCAGTTATACTTAAAATAGAATTTTAACTCGCAATTGAATTTATTTAGAGAGATTGTACGGTTGTTTTTATATTTACTACATTGTTTTGTTTTGTCGTTTATTACTTTTTATTTTTTTGGGAATTTTATCTTGTGTTACGTACAAAACTTTCATATATATATGTACAAAAAAAATAATACATCCCTTTTCTGTGGGTACTTGTTTTTTTTTCTTAATTTTATTATTAACCCCCCAATTGAAAACGTGTTAATCTTTAGTAAGGATTTAAAAAAAATGGACTATTTCATTTAGTCTATGAATTTATTTATTTAATTAAACCTTTTTTACATTACAACATTGAACATTTTATCATATATAATTACGAGGGAAAAATATTACAACTTGTTTCTGTTTTTTTTATTACTACATTAATGTTTCAAAAAAATTGTATAAACATTCGAAAATGTATTTTTTTTTGGGCAAATCTCTTAAGTTAATATTTTAGTCATTTATTCTTAAGTTATTTGTACAAAGCTGGAGCGAATTTTATTTTTTTTTTGGATCAAAATATCAATATTTTCTTACCAATTGAAGTATTGTAGCTAAACTGAGTAAAAATGTTCCGTAATATTTGTATGAGAATTCGCTTCAGCTTGTAAATCCTTGCCAAAAGGAAGAATTCCCCATTAAAATTATGAATGTTGTGTATTTCGATGTGTAATAATAATAATATAATAACCAAAGCCCTGAATGAAATATAATGGAATATTTATTAAAGAGAAACATAAATATAAATCCCGTGTACTGTTGACTTAATATTATCAAAAGAAACTCCCAAAATTGATGTAGACATTTGACCCAAGAATAATCTAAATTAGTGTCGAATGATATTCCATTTAAATTATAAATGTTGTGTACTTGTCTGTAATATAACTGTGTCAAAAACATATATAAAGAAAAAAATCAACCTGAAATTATAAAGATGATGTGGAAAAAGGAAAGAAATATAAACGTGAAATAAATAATATCCCGTGTCTTAATAATCGAATGATCTAAGTAAAAGTCCCTTCAAAGTTAATAAATAAAAAGAACGTATTTTATTTGGCCCACACACAGAAAAAAAAACAATTTAATTCTCGATTACAAAATAAAAGAACAATTTCGAACTTTAGTTCACACGTAGAAAACAAACAAAACGTAGAGAAACGAACAAAAGACTAGATGGGCCTTTTTTTGTGTGTTTTGTTTCTGCACTTACTAGATGCTTTTGCCTTTGTCTCTTTCGGTATTAATAATTTTTATATAAATATTTGAATCAGTAAAGACGTTTTCTCGTTTGCTGCTGTTGCTGGTAGAACATAATACCGATCACGACGCACGCAAGGATTGCCAGGGCGCCGATGAGCATCAGCAGGAACAATTTAAATCCTCCCAAAGATGATGGCTTTGGATCATCCACGTGATCTCTGGGCGATTCGAAGAACGTCGCTGATGGCACGATCTGCGAACGGTCCTCTTGATTTTGGACCTAAAATAATCAAATTGTTATATATTCACGTATTTAATGTGTAAAGACGTACATCGTCAGGAAGGTCCAATTCGAATAGACGAATAGAGTGGATGTCATGGTTATCAGAGAGTTGTCCGGTTTTGGCGGAAATACCAAAATGGTAGCCGGTAGGTAACTTTACTCCAGGCACAGTAAAGCACATCTTCCAAGCGGCTTTGTTATCGAAATCGGTCATAACTGAAAACAGCGAAAGTTAATTAATTCCTGGAATGTAGACGCATAAGCCAAATCCAATTCACCAGTAATTGTGTCCTTTTCGTATCTGATGGATACGTGAGTGTCGTGATCCAAGTTCCGGAACTTGGCCTCGCATCCAGCCAACTGCGTATGGGTGCCATCCATATCGTGGTCATAGTTCAATGTGCCGTTGTTAACCATAGCCGAGATGTAAGGATGCTGGTGCTAAACAACAAAATATATTATTTTAAATAGTTCAATTGGATGTAATAAAGATGGATTACGTTGTGAGCCGCATTGTGATTACTGTAAGTGTCCAGGATGATGGCCAAACCGTGAAACAAGTTCTTGCTACCGAAGATGGGTCCATCTTCCATTCGATCTTTCGCGTACCAAATGGCGAAACCATCGCCAAACAGGTTTCCGCTTTTTCCGTGCACTTTGAACTGCACCTGCAGTTCCCAATTTTTCGCTTTCACAGGCTAAAATTAAAAAAATATATATATACTTTGTTCCACAAATTTTCTTTTAAATGCAAACAAATGAAATTAACAAAGCACTTAATCTTATATGTGACTTAGATAATGTAAGGAAATAGTGTGAGTCATTGTTTACCACTGAATTCCACAGAGAGCCGGACATTGACTGTTTATCGGGTGTGATTCTTATGTACTCGTTTGTCACCATTGTGTTGCCCCCAAAGTCCCAATAAGGAATCTGCAGGCCAGCAGCTGAAAAATATAACAAAATATTATTTAGAATTGCAAATATATGCAACTATAGTATCATAGAATGAATATGAAATTTTCTTATAAAAATTTAAAAGGAAATAATTATTCTGTAGGAAAACAAAGAGATTCCAAAACTTGTATCTTTTGTTGGATTCATTATTGCTGAAACAGGTATAAAAATAAAACTTGGACCCCTTTGACATTGAGAGTTATGCATGTCGAAAAAAACAAAAGGTTAAAATTCTTAAAAAAATATATTAAACAATTGATTGATAAGACGAATGTATTCGTTATGAAAACAATACTCACTCTGATAAGGCCTAACTAAAGAATGCTCCCTTTTCATGAAGTCCTTCGTGTTCCATTCGCCTTGTATAAAATCTACGATTTGTAAGAAAACTAATGCTACGATCACAAAGTGGCGCGAATACATGGCTGTGTAATAATTAGACGCGAATGCGCTCTTTCATTAATTAATAATAAACACAACTAAACTTGTAAATATGCAAAAAAAAATACGCCGACTAAAACGTGACGTACAGTTTTCATGTCAGTTTGTTATATTATATTGGATTGCCACGAAGTTGTTTTCCAATTACTGCCAACTTAATAACTTTCAAGAAATGGGTTATAGGATTTTTAAATTTTTTTAATTATTTGAGGAATGTTAGGAACTTATTTATATAGCAATTATGAACATAATATTGTTGTAAAGACTTTAAAGTAACTGTTAAGCAAATGCGTTTTAGAAATTGGTTATTATAAGTAATATTAAATTGTGTTTTTGTAACATTATCTTATTTTTGTTTTGAAATTATTTAATCAGTTTTAAAAGTATTTGTATTTTGGAATTATTATCAAATATTCGTTCTTAATATAGCAATATATCGGTTTTAAGTCTTGTCGAGTTGGTAGAAGGTGTAGTTGAATGATAAACCGGTGTATTCTATATATATATAGCTGCGTTACAGCCATTGCGAAACTTGAAATATTGTTTGTATACAAAATTTGCAAAGCCGGCCGTGAAAACAAAACAACGTAGAAAATGGCCTGCCCTTTCAATAAAGACAACCTGACTGCACTGAAAAGTATCGTTGACACTTGCAAAGCTAATCCAGAAGTCCTGCACAAAGAGGAATTAAAATTCTTCAAAGAATTTGTTGAATCATTTGGAGGTCAAATACCTAAAAGACAGAAGATGGAGGAACCAAAGATAAATCCAGCTGAAGGTAAGCCTCAGGAGGCTGAGGAAAGTGATACTGAATCTGTTCTGGAGTTTGATATGGAGGGCTGCCTGGAGCCAGACACAGTAACCGATGAGCAGGTTATGGGTGATGATGAGAAGAAACCGACTGAGGAGGAGATTGATAAAGCTGATGAAGTCAGAGGTCAAGGCATGCATGAATTCTCTGAAGGGAATTATGAGAAAGCCATACAGTTTTTCACTGAGGCCATACAAATGAATCCAAAGAGTGCTATACTGTTCACCAAGAGGGGACAGTCCTACATCAAAATGAACAAGCCAAATGCTTGCATCCAGGATTGCACCAAAGCTCTGGATCTGAACTGTGATTCAGCTGCTGCATTTAAATTCAGAGGTCGGGCGTACAGATTGCTTGGGGAATGGGAGAAGGCTGCCCATGACTTGAGACAGGCCTGCAAAATTGATTTTGATGAGCAGTCCGATGAATGGCTGAAGGAGGTGCAGCCAAATGCGCTGAAGATTCAGCAGCATAAAATCAAGCAAGAGAGAAAGAATGCTGAGAAGTTGAAGGAAAAACCTAAGGAAACAGCTAATCAGCCACCACCCAATATGCCTAACTTGGCAGATTTCCTAAAGGATCCAATGTTGCGTGAAGCTATGAACGTAATATTTAGTCTAAAAAATAAGTAACGATTTTATGTAACAAGTTTTTGTTTTAGGATCCTGAGATAAGCGCTGCATTTAATGATATTGTATTGAATCCAAATAATATGGACAAGTACGTCTCGAATCCGAAATTCGCCGCATTCGTTGAGCTTTTGAAGAAATGGAGCAACTTCCCAAATCCTGACTTTGGAAAGACAGCTCCACCAGCTGAGGAGGATGGTTTGGATTAGATCTCACTTTGATATTACTTGCAAAAATACTGGAAAAAAATTAATAAATTAGTAACTGTCAATATATATTAATCCCATTTTTGTTTGTTTGTTACTAATTGGCTGTTATAAATACACGAGTTTATAAATAAATATTTAAACTAATACAAAAAATAATTTATTTCTTTTGTTGTTGAAAATTCACTGAGTAGCTTCCTGTGTTTGGATCCTGCTGCAAGTTGAAGTTCTCCGTTGAAAGGCCAAATGGTTTTAGGAAAACATTACCCAGAGATTTCAATTTACCTGCAAAAGAATAGATTAGTGCACATTCACATTAAATATCTGTATAATTTACCAAGCATTTCTGTTTTTAATTTCTCATTCCTTTCATTGATCATTGGTGGTAGTCTCATGCAAGCAGCTCTGGCCTCATGATTTCCAGCATCCAGTTCAAGTATCTTCTTCCAATCAGCCAGACTTTCGTCCAGCTTCTCTGTACTTTCATACACTTTGGCTCTTCTGAGGTATGCCTTCAAGTAGTCAGGAGCGAGTTCAATGGATTTACTGCAATCATCAATTGCAGATTTTGTACGTTCCACTTTGATTTTGGAGGCAGCTCTGTTTGAGTAAAATATGGCTCTGTCCTTTGGGTACTTCAGTGGACAAATCCTCAATGCAGATGTGTAATTCTCTATGGATTCTAGGTAGTTCTCTTGCTTGAACAAATCGTTTCCTTTGCCCTTCAACTCCAATGATTCTTTATACCTCTCCTCAAGTTCCTCCACAGATAATTTCAGTTCTATCTCCTTCAGCCCTTCCTCATCAATCAAATCATTTGGTGAATCTTCGTGGACTTCGTCCTCCGAGTCTGACTTCTCGAAATCCTCAGGAAAAACACTCTCCTTTTCATTTTCTTCTGGTATAGGAACACTGGACTCAACTTCTGCTGGAATGCAATGCGATTCTAAATCTTTGGTTAATTCGTCGATGATTTCGTCATTTGTTGGAACGTTCTTTTGGTTTTCCATTTTTTACAACAAGGATGGTCACTGATGGTCACTACTGCAGATCACTACTAACTTTAAATTAACCTAAGTTTTGGTAAGGATGGTAAGAATTGTCAACAAACTGAAAGACAATGTATGCAACACAATGAACACATAAAATTTCCAGAAAATTCCGACAGATGTCGCCTCTTGTCATAATTAAAATGCATATAACTCGAAAACTAATTAGCATTTAAATAATTAGACTAAAGTAATAACATTATATTTATTCAAGCACTAAGTGGACATGTTTGTTTATTTAAATTACAACGATTTTAAAGAAGTGGATTTTCTGCAGCGCCAAAAATACCTGAACTACAACATTTGAAAGATTGCTAACAGATGGCGCCAGCTGTCATAAAAAATGAAAATATATTTTGCGCCTATTGTGCAAGCAACCAAACATACATATAATCTTTGAGGTACAAATAGGAAAACAGAGACTTAGATAATGGCCTCTACTTTAGTAAACTTGAGCTCCAAGAAGAATGTTATACATGGATGTTGATCTTGAATATACACAGATTAAAATTAGCGTAAATATTAGTTTGTATCTGGAATGGTGTCTTCATAATTGATTAACAAACTTTGGTATTTCAGAAAATGAGTTGAAAAATAATGTCTTCGAAAATGGCCTATATTTTCGTAAAAATTAGCTCCCACAAGAATGTTAGACATGGATGTTTATCTTGAATATAGGTAGATTCAAATGATCGTAAATATTGGATTATAGCTGCTATAGCGTATTCATAATTAATTAATAAACTTTGGGATTTCACAAATGACAGATGGAAAAATAACATCTTCGCAAATGTACTGTAGTTGCTGCCAGAAGAATTTTGAATATGAATGTTGACTTAGAATGTACGGAGATTAAAATCAGCATAAAAACATGTTTATAGCTACCATAGCTTCGTCACAATAAATTATCAAACTTTGGTTTTTCGAAAATGACCATTATTTTCATATACATCAACTCTCAGAAGAGTTTTGAACATTATTGTTAATCTTGAATATAGAGAGATTAAAATGAGTCTCTAAGAATCATGTAGGAAGCAACAATAGAATCATGCATGCTACATGGTTCATAGTCGTTATCCATCTTCTTAATGAAGTAATATTTTCGGTCACATTCAGCAGTTAAGGTTTTCACTATTTGCAAATGAAAACTGCTTCACTTTCTGGAGAACTTAAGGTCGTCAACTATACATTAGAGGCATGTTGCTATATGCTCCACCTAAAATTATAAGAATTCTAGCAATGATTGTTTACAAGTTGACTATGCACTTTATGTTTATTATTAATGCACATTCTTATATGAAGACACTGATTGAGTATATTTCTTGTAAAAAGATTTTAAGAATTGTCCCAAGTTAGCTGAATTTCTGTTGTATATTTTCTAAAGACAAAGAACTTTAGTGATCGATGGTTGTTTACATGTTCCATTAGTACTTGCCCGAAGTGAGATGTAAAGTTCAGAGAAAGGTTTTCCATACATGGAAATAGAAGAAGGAATCGATGGAGCATGTTGTTCATTAAGTTCTCATTCAGAACAATGTAGAATAATCAGGAAATCCAATAAAAACCATTAAATTTAACTTGTGACTTTAACAACTGTCACAATGACAGTTCGCTCACTCACACAAACGTAAATTTCAAAATTTCAAATTACAACCAATCAGGAACGACCGATGCCAGGAGCTCAGATACCTCCTCGCTACTCATGGTCTCCTGGTGCAAATCGAAATATTCTGGCATTTTCGAGAAACAATGGGGGGGGGACTTGCGTTTTGATTCGCGAAAACCGCCAACTCATTAAGGCTTAATAACTTTCTTATTAATTGACCAAAACTAACATATTTTATAACAAACGAAAACAAAAGAATTATTCTTTAAAATAGTAAATTAAAATATTCCATTATATATGAATATAATCATTTATTTTCAATTTTCTGCAAAACCTTCACGTTCGATTACCACAAATGTTAATTAAACCATCAAATACGCAAATTAAAGGGAAACTACAAAATTTTAAATGAACTAATTGCTGGTATTTTGTTTTGGTCAGTACATCTACTATAAGTTATCAAAATTAAGCATTCTAATTTCATTCTCAATACAATTAATTTTTTGTTGTTGTTGTTAATTATGTATTAATGAGCATTATAGAATAAATAAGTATGAATTTAGATTAATTATCCAATAGAGAAATATGAAAGATTACAATTAATAATAAAATTGTAATGTTTCATATTTCTCTATTGGATAATTAATCTAAATTTATGAAAATCTGTAATCGTTTTCGTTGTAATGAAATCGTTTTCTCTCTGCTTTCTTCATTAAATAACATCTACAATTTTTCAACGAACAGATCTCGGATATCAAGGGTTATTTGATTATTTTTTATTCTTCTTATAATTCTCAATTACACCTAATCAATAATATCTAATTAAAAAGATCACAGTTGCTAGAGAACGCATCGTTATTCTTCTCCAATTATTCTGTTTGTATGCTTTTGTTTCTTAAAAAGTTGCGTAAGGATGGCGCAATCATGAAATGCAACAAAATTTACGTAATTTTCATGTAATTATGAAAACACCTGAAAACTCTGAGGATCTCAGATTTTTAAGAAAATCCTATTCACTTTTTTATCAATTTCTACAGCTCGTAGTAGGCGACAGCACGAAGATGCCAATAGGCTCGTTGGAAAGGTGAGACATTTAGCTTTCATACCATTAGTCGATGATGTAATTATCTTAAGGGGTTCTCGAGAAAATCAGAAAAGACTGAAAAAAGAAACGTCGTTCCTCTGTTTTTTCAATTTCTACAGCTCATAGCAGGCGACTCGACGACAGTACGAAGATGCCAATAGTTTCGTTGGAAAGATGAGGTATTCAACTTTCTATAAAGTTGCGTTAGCAAATCATGACTTTGTGAGGCAACCTGATTTGGAGGCCCCATATTAACTCTTCTAAAAAAATCATACCGTTTATTTTGGCGCCTATGTGGTAAAGCGCTAATAGAAATATTACTCATCTTTCTTATCAATGCATGTATTATTGTATTAATAATAAGCGTTATGAGCGACTAATTCGTATAAAACTGAATATTGAAGTTTCAAGTATTCGTTTTGTACTTGTAACTATCTAAACTTTGAAGCTGATGTAATTTTATAATTTGATTACAATTGCCGTTTGAGAGTATTACGCGTAGGATGTGGTTATTTCCTGCAGAATGTTTGGATTTTCCTATTAGATAAGCAACGTGTCTAGAAACAAACAAAAAAAAGTAGTTATTTATTGTCCTTAAATAATAAATAATACCAACAAATAAGTACAAACACAATTTGTGTTTTAAAAAATAATAAGTGAAGAATGCAGGTGCGTGAAGGAAAAGATCAGCTTTCTTCGTAATTCGTGTGTCTGTAGAGAATATAATGTTGAACTATGAAGAAGATGTCGAAGACGACGGAGAAGAGGCCCAAGCCGAATTTGGTCTTGTCCCCAAAAATCGATTCCCAATCGTCTGCATAAAAAAGAATTAAATTAGATAAAGAAATTAACAGTAGAGTTTTGTTACCGTAGTTGTAGGAGTTGACAATCATTTGCAGCATAGATAAAATACCGCCGGTGAAGTCCAAGAATATGTTTCCAATACTCCAGCCCACCGTGCTCTTGCGTTTATAGTTCATGTAGGCCTTTACAACAAATATAAAAATACAATTGACTGAGCATTAATTATTTTCAATGAGTAAATTGCAGTCGCTGACTTCTGGGATCAATTAAAGATTCTTGTATCCTCATGCGATCTTTAAAACTTTTAATTGTTTTGTTTACTCACTTGGGGGACGTACTTGATGAGCGTAATTGTTAATTTGACGTAGGAACAGTAGTACAAGAAGTCGATCCAGTGGATGGTGTTGGTAGCGGCCAAGATGATTCCAATTCCCAGGAAAACGGCGAAAGCTCCAAGGATGGATCTTGCCGTTAGGGATACCTTCTGGTCGGCCCTCTCGTACCTGTAGCACTGCACCAAAGTGACGAGGCAAGCAAAGGTCGCGTGCAGCGCGAAGACAATGTCATTTACTTGGACGGGATTCAAGCCGCGCGGATGAAGTTCCGCATACTTCGCCTAAAAATAATCATATTATACTCGATTCATGAAGACTGCTGCGGGGCATTGATCATACCCTGATCTCAGGTATGAAATACAGGCCCAGATTGAAGATCGCGTAAAGGGTGAATCCGACCACGTTCAACGCTAAAAAATCGAAGTTCAAACCGACGACGCTATAATCACACAAGAGAAAATAATGAGACGAGAACTGCATTCCACGATTGATTTAATTTACCTTTGCCTCTCGTAATTGATGTAGATTTGGGGATAGAACGAGATTGACCACGCCACGAAGTATATCCACCCTATTATTTCCGAAAATACATCGAGTTGGGCGTGCTTGAAGACCGTCACCCGAAGGAATAAACTATCCGTGCTTCATATAGAAAAATAATGTATCAGTGCGATGAAGATTGGATAATTATAAGGTTTTTTTTTCTTTACTCGTAATTAGTTTTGGTGGTATTTGTGGTTATTTCGGAATGCCCAGGGCTCGTCCCTTTTACCACCAGTTCGTAAAACCCATCCACCATCTTCACGCTGTCCGGTTCTATCGAGACGATATCATCGTGTTGAACGTAAAAGTTCAACTTATCATCTTTATAATTAATTTCCCTGAAAAAAAAAAACAAACAAATAAAATAAATCAATTTCACTGAAAGATTAACTAAAATGATTCTGAAAGCTTTACCTTTCTGCACTTACGTAATGTTCAATTGGACTGTACTCTCTTCGCCCAGTTTTAACATCAAATCTTGTGCAGACAACGTGATATCACTTAAGCCAATCCCGAAATTCGCAATTAACACTAAAAAGAAAATTAAGAAATTTGTTAATTATTTCATATTGCGCGAAATAAATATGTATTAAGTTTAACTAAAAATAGGTTTCCTTTTTGTAACACAAAAAAATAAATAACATACATATTCTATGAATTAATTTATATTTTAGAGAAATAAAAAAGATTTTAATAATTTCATTAGTAAGAACTTTAACTGAACAAAATATGAATGAAATCAATATGAAATGTCTGTATTTAAGTTGAAGTTAGTTAATGAATTGAACACTTAAAGTGTTTGTGCAGAAATAATGAAAATTGTTGTTTGTTGTTTCTGAAGAATGCGTTAACTGATTGGTTAAACATCTTACCAAGGGCGATGAAAGCAGGTGGGCTGCTAGGCCCTCGGAGTCGTCGTCTCATATTCGCTTCTCTTTGGAAAACCTGCGGACGAAGAAGAGAAACTTCAATCAACTGGTCTGCACTGAATGCAACGCATTTAACTGATTTCAGCAGGAAACCTGCTCACGGTTTATTGCAGTCTCTGCACAAACGCGCGCACTCACTCACTCGCTTATACACACAAACATACACACATACAACCATCATCAAGAGCAGCAAAATTCCAGTAAATCAAAGAAGATGCAGCAGTGAAATTCGCCCACCGGATAAAAACAAACTTTGCTTCATTGTTATTTGCAACCTCTGACATCACGACGTAATGCGCATTCAAAAATTAGAAAAGAATTGGGTCGTGAATACGAATATAAACACAAAAAACTGAGCTGTTTTACTCGAGAAATAATAAATACTTCGATAGTTTTTTTTTTCTGTAATATTTCCTTGACCGTATTCCATTGCAAAAATGCATGTGGTAACCAATATTCTTCAAAGAAAATCCGTTACGGGTTTCATTCGCTGTGGTTCTTGTTTGTTTACCAGTCAGTGTCTGTGCATTTGTAATTAAAACCGGCGCTGTTCCAACAAAACACTAAATTTCTTAGAAATATTTACTCGCACTCAATTGCTTCAACTTCCAGTTTTTGTTTTTGCGAAGAGCAAAAACAGTTATTAAAAGAATAATGTTTATACTAGATTAATTACATTATTAATTAATTAATTAATTACATTATTACAATTAATTAACTTAATTTCAAAAAAATCTAATGTTAAAAATATGCCTAGACAAACGTTAATTGCATATTAAATATTGCAATTCATCGAAAAATGATTACAAGGTAAAACAAAGTTTATAATCGCAAATTATTCAAGTACGTACTTGACGAAAACTAATATAAATTTCATTTTAGATTTAGATAGAACAAATTAGTAATTACAGTAACATGACCGGAATTTATTGTTTGGCGCGAAATTTTCGTTTGAATGAACGGAAATTGGAAATGGTTTAGTTCTAGTTTTGTTTTTTTTTGGGAGGTTCCTTTTAACCAATAACGGAATACCCGATGATCTAGGCATTCGAATATGTGACCTTAAAATTGAAGATAATTGCTCAAATACTTAACTGTACTGACTGAGAAATTTCAATAAAACTATAGTTACCGTGTTAATCGTATTGTTATCAACTGTTTTATGAACTGCAATAAGCTAATAATACTTTATTACACCTTTCTATCTAATTGAACACTTTTTAAACACAATTGTTGTTATTTATTGCTTTCGATGTTACTGAACGCGATAATTCAAACAATGAGCCATAAAAGTTAATCGTTTATATTTTCCCATGAATATTTGTACACGAAGCGTGAGTAATCACTAAACATGTTTTACCGACGTATTTGATCCACATGAAATCATGATGAAACACAATGTTTGTATTACTTAAGTATGCAACATTTGCATGTAGAGTTCTTAACTTTTTAAAACTTTAATTGAATAATTTATATTTGAGCTTGTTGGAATTTACGTATTTTTGTTTATTATTATTTTTTAATAAATTATTGGAATCAGCAAGTTTAATTTAATTAAATTAATTAAAAAACAATTGTTTTAATTTGAATATTTAGAGCGCGTCTGCCATTTAAAAGAAGCGTCAGTTCATTTGAACTAAACCGACGCAATTGAACTACGACCACCTTGCACCATATTACCAAATCCGTTCGGAGCTTTTGCTATGCCCTTTTTTTACTTCTCAGACGTTCACTTACCACTAAAGAACTGAACTGTGGCGATGCGATGAACCCGTTTAGGTTATGTTTACGTTTCTAGCAACATCGTCATGCTTTATACGTCCGTGTCCCCACTTGTCCGCACAACTCATGCTCTCTCTCATTCAGCTCAATTATCGGCTGATGATCTTTTCGAACTACGAAAATAGAAGAAATGCATGCACAAACATACAAAACTCGGATCGAATTGGCACACGCATGTGGTCCGCTGCACACACACACACACAACACACTCACAGGTCAAAAGACAGATGAACTACGGCCATTGCAAACTAATTAACATTTGAATTACGAAATTCTATTTCGAGCTTGCTGCTTATCACTATGGAAGATGTTTAGACTGTTTCATCTGTATCCTAGGAAACTTAGTTTTGTTTTCTTGATTTGTATTGTGAAAATTATCTAATCAAAAGACTTAAACATACATAACTTTTTATCGACGAGTACAAATATTCTACAAGTGTAAACGGATATGATTCGTTCATTCATTTGTAACTAATTGTTTGATTGCTCTTAATGTTTCATTTATCACAAGTTACAAATTAAAATTAAGTCTAAGTCTATGTAAACACACTAAATTAAATTAGTGATCAATAGTCCTTTGTAAGTTATTATGAAATTTGATCTCTGATATTATAAAAATATCAATTTGAATTTGAAATAAAACATGCGTGGATATAAGAACTAACAATTAAAATTTTGTAAATTTAGTTGTTAAGTTGTTAAAATTTGAAAGGAAAAACATATGGACATTTTTATTTAAACAAAAAATGAAATAATAAATTGACAATCAATGAAAAGACAATTGACTAAATGAAAACAATCACTTAAACACGTTTCCATAGCAACAAATGATAGGTTTGAAAACAATATGTTTCGGACGTACCTTTTTAAAACTGGATGATGTGGAGCAACAGTTTGTAGTTATTGGATACCAATAGTTGTTTATCTCCGCATTACACTTTGTTTCTATCAAGCGTAAATGTGAATTATGATATACGCGCTTAGGAATATCATCTCGTTGTATAATGAAAAACCGAATTAATTACAGTTTTTAATTACGACTGCGCGCGCGAAAGATAAGCCGGTTGACTTATTGAGATTAAACCGTTCTACTCACTTGTACTTTTCTTTCCAGCGAATTCCGATCCTGTCTAGTCTGAAACTAGTCAATCTATAGGAATTCTCCAATTGTTGTTGTTGTTTGTTGATGATGATAAACAGAACGAATGAGGTGTATCGTTCACCGAAACGCTATTAGACTCTCTGCTTGGATTGTGTAAAGTTGTGTAACGGACGACCTTCGCCGTTTCGGACGACTGACATTGATAAACATTCCATGTGTTGCAGTCCGATATACATGTTTTTTATCATATTCTGCATAAATACAACTAATTGCATAGCGTAAAGTCGGATAAACTTTCTTTGCTATCAAGAAAACTCAGTTATTTATAACCACCGCATCCTGATACACTTTCAAACAAATTCAATTTCCCTTGAAAAACCTAATCTACTATTGATACAGTAATATCAATGGGAAAACACGTGGAAATAGGATTAGAATTTTTACAGCGAAAAAATAAAAAATCTAGAGATTTCTACGAAAACCCGCGACAATAATCCAGTGAATTAAAATAATTACAAAAAAAAAATTAAATAAGTAATAATCTTTATTTCAAACCAAATAAGTAACAATGCACGTACATGTAATATATAATATAAACTGTTGCTAGGTTATTTATTAAAAAACAACGGACGAATAAACATAAAAACAATTGTTTGTTTTTTTTGTAATTTGTATTTTTATTTGTTTAAATGTACAGATATTTTTCTTCTTACAACAATTGCATTTTCTTATCTCATAGTTTGTATTCACCATTATTTTTTATTTATTTATTTTTTTTTTTGTTAATTATTATTTTGTAATCATCATATATATTCTCAACATTTTTATCTCTCATTAGTATTATTTAATCATCTCTTTCATTACTCTCGTCATCATCATCATCATCATTTTTTTTTGTCTCTTTTGTGTCATTTGTTTAAACAAAACATCCAAGGCACCGAACTTCCATCCTATTACGTGTGTATTTTTTTTTTGTCCCTCCGCACTATTTCTTCTCTCCACCACTTTTCACCCAACCCTATTTAATATTATTATTATTTTTTTTTTAATATACTTTAATATTAATAATTTTTTTTTGTCCATCTTCCCAATCATACATAATTACATAAACTGCCTTTCTCTTTCGAATTCCCGTACTAAAAAATAAATCTAAGAACTAAAACAACCGAATTACATGATTTTTTTTCTTCTGTTGTTGTTGTTATTGTTAATATTTCAGTTTTTTTTTCATGTCCCTTACGTTCTACGTGTGTGTGTGGGGGGGAGGTTATCTTAAGAACTACACCGCTAAATCGTCAATAAATTACAGAATTTACAATGACAATGATTGCAATTCGCACATTATATCTCATAATAATTAATAATTTGCCTAGCAAATCTCTCCATCCATAATAATCTTTGCATTACGGAAATCCCGTCGTCTTCGTCGTCGTATTTACAAACATTTTTCATTTACAAAAATCTATCTAAAATCCTAAAAATTATCATTTTTTTTTACTTAATCTTCAATATTTCCTTTGTCAGTTTTTCCTTGATCTCTTATTGCTTCTGGAACGGAAAAACGCAATGTAACAAAGCCGTCGAAACTCAAAACATTCGAGGAAAACGAGTGCGTATAAATATATTCTCATCTCAACATAATTTATTATTTCTCTTCAATCTTTATTTAATATTGCTTTGGATTACTAAAAATATCACCTTACGTTCTTTTTTTTTCCTTTACTCGTATTTTGCTGCATTCCTTCTTGTCTCCTATTCAATATGATTATTATTAATATTATTATTTCGCTCTTTCTCTCTGTTTTTGTCTTGAACCGATGACGAATGGAGAACTCGATCTCTCTTATATAACTTTCTTTGTGAGTGTATCATTTGTTATTGTATATAATATGTGTTCGAGTATGTAAACGTGAAAGCTGTGTGTAAAAATACGTATTATCATTCATTTCACTTATTGCAAGCATTTTCCCCAATTTCATCGGGGTGATTTTTATTACATCGTCGACACCGAAATGAGAGAACTGACGCAATCACAGTTTTGTTGTTGTTGTTTTTTTTTTAATGTATATATGATTTTTAATTAGTTTTCTTTTTTAATATATTGGAACCTAAGGGGGGATTACCGAAATCATCGAAAGGAACCAACACAGCTGATATGTTATAACTTTATGAAGAACGTACGAAAATCAAGCATGTTTTTCTTCACTTGCTGAGGAGGATAAGCGAAAACGAAACGGTTTTGTTGAGGGGTTTTGCTAATTAATTTGCGCGCGGCGTCTTGACCTTCCTGAGTCTTAAGTACCACACCTTGAGCAAAACTACAGAACTTATTGCTTGATACGACGAATGAAGGGTTAAAACTTTGGCGCGGATACCGCGCGCGAATCCGAGCTTAGCTTTCTCACAAGGGGGTTAGATATATGTATATATATATATTTTTTTTTTGTTAAAAATCTAAAGAGAAAGTGAATTATTAAAAGTTTTCCTTAACTCCGAAGGGGGGGATTAATCACAGTTTTTATAAATATACTTCTCGTAGTAATTAGAAAGTTATTAGCTTAGAATGTACAAAGTGGATGGGATAAGTGAAGAAACCCAAGAACCTACGCGTCCAACAACTCGTCCTTAACAAAGGAACGGAACAAATTGAAACGTTTCGCACAACCCTACAAAAAAATTCCGACCGCCGCCGGATTTATCTTCCCACAAACTTTTCCTCTTGGCGGCCGTATTGTATATTTCTCTTTTTTTTATGTTTTGTTTTGTTTTGAATAGAATACAGTCTTCATGCTTTATGTACGAGTTTCGCCGGTGGAGCAGAATCATCTCGTGGAGAGTTGCCGGATGATCAGGAGTGCGAGCGCGATTAAAATCCCTGTGGAGTTCTTCGCGATTCCCACGTTGCTGGCCTCGAGGCATTTCCCTGGAAGAAGGATAGATGTATGTGAAATTCGATCTGTGTGAACTTTCGGACTGTGTTTTATACCGATGCTAGTTACGTTGAAGACGAGTTCACCCGTGATTCCCGGCAAGACGTTCCTGTCGCAGTTCTCGATGGATGTCGAGAAGGCCACTACGTCCGGTGGGAACTCCTTGTAGATGAAGCAGTAAGTCCTCGCACCGTGCGAGGATCTGCTCAGTGGGGTGGTTATCAGGTAGTTGGTGCCGTTCTCTTCCCACCTTCCGTGGCACGAATAAGCTGCAAATTACATAACGTTACATCTATTTAGCTTAGCTTAATCCATGATTTAGTTACTCGAGATGATGTCCGTGGTGGCGCAATCGGTGCGGAACTCCATGGTGTCCGCTGAGTTGCAGCCAATTATCAGATTCGAGAATCCGGCATTATCACAGTCAGAGGAGTCCTGGCGCTCCACGCGCTTGATCCTCGTTTTGACACCACCTCCATGGAACATCTCCAAGGCGGAGGAGCTCCTCTCGCCTTGTCTGCTGTGGATGAACTTGTACTGCCGGAAGTCTCTTAAAGAACGCACCGGCCTTTCGTTCCTCAGCATCCTGCTCACCGAGAATTTACCCATGTAAGGACATTTCCGAGGTTCTGGACTATTCGCTGCAAAATACATAAAAAAATATTAGAAAAGATTCATAAAATTAAATAAAGATCATGAAACCAAAATCTGTTTTATTTCTAAATTTCTAAACCCAAGTGATGAATCAACATCAGATGGTATGTATTCAACATAATCATCTTCTACAAAAGACATTTTCTAGAAAATTATAATAATGCCCCACTATGCATGTTGGTTGGTACAATGCGTGTCCCACCGCCCTTAAAGAGTTATATATTATATGCATATATAATCATTGATATTATAGTTAAGGTCATAACTAAATGTTTAAATTTACAATTACATGAAAATAAGTATTAGAAGAAGCAGACACAAAAGAGGTAAATGGTGATACAGCATCTAATTTAAGAATGAAACATGATTCTATTTCGATTCATGTAAAACGCCATTAGCGGTCCTCAGTTAATTGTTAGCATGTGGAGCAAGTCGGCATGCCGTTAATAAACTTAAAGTGGAGGAGTTAATGGGGCGGTAGCGTCGGTGGTCCTCCGGGCCGTCCGTCTTCGTGCCAAAAATACTTGCGCACGTATTTATCTCCTCTCATCTGTACATCTGTAAACGTTAAAGAGGAACCCGTTGGAGGACGATAAATTTCGAACAACGGTCGGAAGGGATACATCGATACACACATTCGTTTACTGTTAAACCTGAACAAAATGCAACAATGCAATCCAGTTGCTGCGCATATAGACGCACCGTCATACAAGATTAATGGTATTGTTTCCACTTCAATTGACCGATCCATAAACACATACAACTCACACAAAAATAAAAGAGTTTAATAAATAAAACGTTCATCTAAAAGTAGATTTTACCATCTAATCTCTCTAATTATAATTTAGAAACTTTACATAAAGGTGCGCATATTCTAATTACAATTAAAAGAAAAACTATTTAAAGATCAAAGAGGTGTCATTATTATTTTTTTTTATCTAGATGAAAAATGTATAATTAAAAAAGCTATTTTAGAGATGGAATGCGAGGTTAATTACAATTAAAATTTTCTATTACAAGTACAAAAAAAAATGACATTTAGTTATGGACAAACAAATTTAATATTACGTTACGAACGTGACACTTTCGATTAGTCGTAATTGGATATTCCATAACGATCTTAAATATTCATTCAGCGTTTATTTCGAGCAAGAGAGACCAGGTGTGTTAAATTGAAATTATTATTAGTCATGTGTGAATCCAGTCGTGGGGTCCTAATGTGTTAATTAGTTAATTGTTCGAACGGACTTTATTAGATCTATGCATTAATTGAAACTGATTACACGGATATTACGTTCCTCACCCATAACAAGATCGGTTTACCATTACGGTATGAAATTCAGTTTATAAATTACGTAAAATTAACAATTTATTCATAGAATCGATGAACAGGATCGAATCTGTTCATCGATTTAATGTGTATTTTCGTTTCACTGAAACGAACTAGTCTAAATTATACAAATGGAAAGTTTTCAAAACTAAAGTTTAGGATATAATTATTCTTGTTAGCTGGTTGTTTATGAAAATTACAGTGCGCATTCCATAATTTTTAGTAAGAATAGTGTTGCATGTAAAGAGTGCGTGTCAGCTTGTTTTTCTACAAAGTAGGTATGAAATAAAAATCTATACATGCATATTTCACGAGGTTCCAATTTAATGTTATTGAATATGAATAAATGATGTATATCAATACTATAAAAATTATTAAGAATAGCAGAGTCCAAGGCACTTAATTATAAATTCATGTAATTTATATTAGAAAATTTTCTTCAATAACAACATGCAAAAAAATATGTAATAGATGAATTTTACTAATTAAGTTATTATCGTTTAGTTTATAAAATATGTTTATCTCTAAACTTTCATTAAATGTAGATGAAAGTTTATATCTAATTACAAATTATTATTTTTTTAATGCAACCTTGAAATTTGTAATTTTTTAATTACATAACATTTGAAATGCATTTATTTAGTATTGCTAGTTTGTGAAAATGTTAATTTCAATGACATGCAATTCAAATGGTCTTTGTTTACTATTAATCTGAATTAATTTTAAATATTTTATTTTATACACAAATGATAGAAATAAACTATTATTGAAGGGTTGAATATACTTTGTCCTTAGAAATAGAGAATCCAACAAAATCAGAACATATTAACTTGTTCTCTGCTTAAAATTAACAATTAAAAAGCAAATAACTAAATTGACTGAAGGAATTTGTAAAGTAAATGGATGAATCATAAATAATTAAGAATTATAAAAAAATATGGTTTGTACTAGTATTATAAATAATAGCTGAAAAAAAAGATAGTATGTTACCAATGTCACCTATCTGAAGTTATGTAAATCTTCTGTGTGTTACATTAAAGCATTGTTTCAGTACAAAATATATTAGAAATGATAATTATGTAAAATTTGTCATACTATTTGAGTTTCTTGAGGTGACGCCAATAAAGAAGGCGGTGGTAGACTTTGTCCTTAGAAATAGAGAATCCAACAAAATCAGAACATGTTAATTTGTTCTTTGCTTAAAATTAACAATTAAAAAGCAAATATCTCTATTGCCTGAAGGAATTTGTAAAGTAAATGGATGAATCATAAATAATTAAGAATTATAAAAAAATATGGTTTGTACTAGTATTATAAATAATAGCTGAAAAAAAGAGTATGTTACCAATGTCACTTATTTGAAATTATGTAATTCTTCTGTGTGTACAAAATATATTAGAAATGATAATTATGTAAAATTTGTCATACTATTTGAGTTTCTTGAGGTAAGGCCAATAAGGAAGGCGGTGGTAGGCTCTGTAGGAAAAAAGAAGAAACGTCGTGCTCTTGAGGAGAGCAGAAAAAAGAGTTCTTCCTCTAAGCAAAAGGAACCTTCCAACGTTAACCATTCGGAGGGTAAAAATTCCTACATTTGAAGACCCAATAAATTTCTAAACAAAAACTTCGTCAAGTGATGGTATGGATTATAAAAATTCATGTATTGACATACCAATCAAATTAAATGGTCAAAAGGTGGTACAATGCGAGTTCCATCACCCCTCAAGAGCTGGAACCTCACCGGAAGTTAAATAATTTTTGTTATTTGTGTTTAGTGCACGATCGTCATCACAACGTGTTTATAATAAGTAAAGTAATATAATTAATTAATATATAATTAATTAATTATTAAATTATATGAATGAAATATTGTAAATAAACAATGAAGGATGTAAAGATGAAAATATGTATGTCTATTAGTTATATAATTTATGGGATAATTGAAGAATAACAAATGTTGAATTTCTCACGTCATTGAATTGATGTTGAATTGATTATGAGAAGCAAGTGAATCGTTGCATCATGAATTGAGCGATTAGAGTAATGGTGCATAAGAATTGAAAGAGTGGTAGTTGTACAATGGATATGGAGAGAGGTCTACTAGTCTAGGTCGTCGATATTCTTCTCAATAATAGAAGGGCATTGATTCGGGTCGAAGTTGTGAACATAATGTAGATAACCAATTTGGGGCAGAGCGTATGTAAAATGTATGTATGAATTATTATTATTATTATATATAGAGTTTGGATACTTACTAACTAGGGTAACGTAGGGCAGCAGAGTCCTGTTGAAGTAGGTGGGTTGGCAGGCGTCTTCCTGCCTTTTCGTGTGCGCGCCCGTTTGTACTTCCATGACGTCGGCGTCCCGGCGATGGAAGGCCATACAAGCGAATCCACTTTGGCTGTTTGGCGTTGTGTATGTATGAGAGAGAGAGAGACGGACATAAAGAGAGAGAGAGAGAGAGAGGATAGGACGGAATTGGTTGAAGGGTGGCGGCGGAGGGCGGCCAGAGGCAGAATAAATTAATTCGTATCAGTAAACTATTCATGTCCGATTTCACCGTCGATTAACTCACCAGCCCGTTGTGAAATGTGTCAGAAGCATGACCGAACTTTCGTCCCTCGACGTGTGCCTAACTTGGGTGCAGACAATTTTCATCTCCAACCCCGAAGAGTTCGTCACACGCAGCGTCGAGTTCCGATGATGGAAGCTGTATGTCGCCGAGTAGTTCAGGGTGTGCCAGTAATTGTGGTTCGCTATCCAAGCGGGAAATCGACACTTGTTCAACGTAGGCGCTGAAAAAACAAAAGCAAAGAAATCGTAAATCACATATAGATTGATGGATAGATATAGAAGTAAGGGACAAGTGAATCCAAAAAATATTCGACACCAATCATCATCATCATCATTACTATTACCACACACAAACAATATTAAATAACTTACATCCTTTCATACAATCAAATAATGAATAACCCTTTTATCCAAATCCACCATCCACCAAAGTAAATGTATTATCATTTTATGAACTTGATTGTAGATAACTTATATTAACCGACCTTCATAATAATAATGTAACCCTTATACATCCTTGAAGCTATCTGATGAAGAAGGGTTGGTTGGATAAAAGGATGTTTTGCAGGATCATCTTTTTAATCACATTTCACTATACAAATTGTTGTTTCTGTACGAACAACTAAAATATAACTGATGACTTCGATGCGTTTTCTTAATTGTTTTTCATCCAACGCTACCTTTAATTAATTTTGTTTTACTATTGTTTTGTGTTTGCCAACCAGCAACCAGATATACCTCAATTTTTTATATTTTTATGTAACTAAGGAAAATTGTTATTTTTGTATTATAGCAAATTGTTGTAAAAAAATGTTGTTGTAAGAATTATGAGTATGTGTTAAATTTGATTGAAGTTTTACATTATAAATGCATTATTTCTAATATGTGACGACTCTTTAGATCAGTGGTTTCCAAACTTGCCTCCCTCAAAAGTATGTAATCATTTGGCGCCTCCCCACCACCCTCCATTTCATAAAAGGAACGCGTAATACAGAAATATGGATAACAGCACAGAAATTTATCTATACTTGCTGGATTCCCCAAACATTCAGCTTTCATATGCATATATTGGATTCATTCTATCTATTATAGTTTTCGAGTAAATCAATCAAATGTGAAAACACTGCTTTTTCGAACGTTCTAATTTCAATTTTTCAACTTTGAACGCGTATTACAGAAATATGGATAAGAGCACAGGAATGTATCTATACTTTAGCAGATATTTGGAAAATTGCTCACTGCTACTAATATTCGCGCCTCACAGTTTGGAAAACGCTGCTTTAGATGATGGATACAAAAGGGATGAGAAGAAGCAGCGGAATGTAACCGCAAACGCGGTCTAATTGTGAAATATGGATGTGTTTGCTAAAGGATCAAGGGAGGAGAAGCTATGAAGTGTGCGTCCAGTTCTGTCGGCGAGGATAATAGCTTTCGGTGAATGGCGGAAGAGCGAGTAAAAGGGGACCACTATGCTCTCATCCCATGAATATGATGATGATGGTCTGTGGTTAGTGTTTGCGCGTGTAGAGAGATGTGTGTGTGTGTATACGTACCTTTTTTGAGAGTCATAGTCCTGCTGCCATCGGTGGCACTGAAGAGTCCATTACATGTGGCGTCTCCGCTTTGTGCCACCCTATAATCCACACCGTCCAAAGCCTCTGATGCAGGCGAGGCCTTCTCGTACACGAAGCACCTAAAGCGATCCTCGTTCGAAGTCGCATGGTTGTGATGCACCCTTCCCACCAGATAACGAGAGCTGCCCTCTTTCCACGTCGCCAAACATTGCAGCTCCTCCACTACACAAGAACAACAACAACAGAAGCATAATAAATAAATAAATAAATTTAAAAAAAAATACAAGAGTCAGAAAGAGAAGATGACAAATAAAACGCAAAGGACACATACAGACTCTCCAATTGATTCGCAAATCTCCGATCCTGTTCCAATTCGAACAAGCAGAATTCAGTCAGGCGGATTTCAATACCGGAGCATATATAAACTACCTATATGTTAAAGGTAAAGTATTCTATAGTACAATGGTTCTTAACTTTTTACTAGCCGTTGCCTCCTTAAAATCTTGAAATATTTTCGCGACCAACTATTTTAAAATAGCAATTTTATACAACTATTAGGAATAATAATGAAAAATTAATATTTATTTAAAAATTACGATGTGCAAAATTAATGAGACTTCTGCTGTTGAATACACTTCACTAATTTGTCTATTAACAGTTCAATTACGTTTTTCAATGCTATTCTCATGCAAAAGTCTATTACGTAGTTTACTTTTAATTCTTTCCGAATAAGTATTCAAAATTGTATCAAATTAGTTTTCTTGAAAAGTGAATTCAAACTTATATCTTCTGTCAATTCAAGCATAAGATAATCATCGTAGATTGGTGATAAATGTATATTATCCCAAATATTATAAGGATAATCCACAAGTTTCTGCTATCAAGTTGTTTATTTTGAAGATGACATTGAATAATAATTTGTATGTTTCTTTATCAAATTCATAATAATCTGTAATCATTTGAGAATAATTTGGAAACATTTCGAAAACACTCGATTCTATTCTTCGAATCCATTTACGAAGTTTTATTTTCATCACCTCTCATTTATCTCGCATGTTTTGTTGATTTCTTTGCATAGATAAATTTAGTTGGTTTAGAATGGAGAAGATGTGTGTCAAGTAAGAACATTTTGTAATCCATTTCTGGTTTCTCCATTCCATTTCGACGTCGTCGAGATTAATGGTCAAATTAGATTTTTTTCATTTCTATAGTATACCTAAGCATTCTGTGTTGATAATTTTGACATTTTATAAAATCTGTTACTGATCAAAATATCTTTCCATAGAATTTATTTTCTATAGTTTTTGTAATTTCTTTTACAAACCTTTTGATGTAAGTACTGTGAAGTATTTCTTAATTTATATAAGATATGTTATCAAATATCTCGATCACGTACAGAAACATGTAAACATTTTGATTAACTTAAGTAGATGATAAGTTTGTATTTGATTTAAATGAAGTATTAGTCAAAAGTATAGTATACCTAACTATTCTCTGTAACTACTTTACATGGAACACTTTGACATATTGTAATAAATGCTACTTAAAGATTTATGTAATAACTTTAAAACCACACGTATTGATTAGGTATTAATGATAAAAATGAAGTCTTTCCATAGAGTTTACTGCTAGATTTGTGTAATTTCTAATTTTTATATGAGAAACTTTCATTACATCAGAAAGCATTTTTTTTACAAACCTTTTGATGTAAGTACTGTTAAGTATTTCTTAATTTATATAAGATATATTATCAAATATCTCGATCATGTACAGAAACATGTAAACATTTTGATTAACTTAAGTAGATGATAAGTTTGTATTTGATTTAAATGAAGTATTAGTCAAAAGTATAGTATACCTAACTATTCTCTGTAACTTCTTTACATGGAATACTTTGACATTTTGTAATATGTGCTACTTAAAGATTTATGTAATAACTTTAAAACCACACGTACTGATTATGTATTAATAATAAAAATTAAGACTTTCTATTGAGTTTACTGCTAGATTTAAGGTATTTCTTATGAGAAACTTTCATTATATCAGAATTGATCTTTTCTTACAAAGTTATGTTTTGTTAATGTTAAGTTTTTATTAATTTATATCTAAAATATATTATCAAGTTATCTGGATCCCATACGTTTTTATTAAGTTAAGTAGAGGATTAGTTTATGTTTGATGTAAATGAAGTATCGGTCGAAAGGACTATCAAAGGTATCAGATCTTAATTCAGTTCTATTTTTGGTATTCAAAAACGTTTGAATTTGGCTCGCAAGAGGAAATGCAAAGGGAACGGAGGAAGAGATAATAGCGGATGTACGTGTATGTTTTGTATTATTGGAACAATGACTATTTGGTTTTCTGAATTCGGTTTGGATGCCGACCGACCGCAAACCGGCTATAAATAACCGAATAATCTCCCGGTCCTGATCAATATTTACATGAAATGGCACCGGACAGAGGGTGTATGTATGTGTATGAGAGAGAGAGAGAGGGAGAGAGGAACGAAGGGCCACGAAAAACCGAAAACCCCATAACCCGAAACGCAACTCTCTCATTCCCAAAATAAAAAAAAAAACGTACAACCCCACACACAGAGAGAAAGCCCTAATTGCTCGGCCGTGCAAAAAGTATTCCTTAATAAACATCCTGGGACGGGTGGACCCTTTCGCAATTATTCACGCCCGATTGCCGTGCCCCATGCCAGAAGCTCAAATTCCGTTCACCCTATTTTCGACCGGTCGAAGAATGTTGATTATCCGCTTAAGAATTCATCGCAACAACAGAAAATACCGTTTTATTTTTGTTCATTCTTTTTATTTTAGTGTTTCTCTTCGGCTGTGTTCGTCTTCTATATATATTCATCTTTTTCCACTTTTTTTTGGGAGAAAAGGGATGCATTTAAGCAGGGATCGATCGATTTTAAGCTCCGCCGGCCCACAGATATGTGCACCGTCGAGCGCCCTCTTCCATACTGCTGCAAAGGAGAAGAAACGAAAACAACAAAAAATGAACGCACAGAGAGAGAGAGAGAGAGAGAAAAAGGGATTTTACAACATCAAAGTGATTTTATTTTCTGGTTGCGCCATCCTTTGTCGTACCGAAATAAGGAAACCGAAACGCGTGCTGCACCAAAAATATCGACGAAATATTCAGTGGACTACTAATTTCCTTCACTACTTTATTGGAATACTTTATAGAACTTATTTAACTGGATGTTAGAAAGATATTTGTGATCAGTTCGGATCAAAATCCCGACAATTAAAATCTTGACAACCATAATCCCGACAGTGTCAAAATGTCGATACGACAGTGAAAGAGAGATTCCGGCAGAAGTTCTTCTCAATTCATAACTGTATACTTTATGTATGTATATTATAGATGATTTCAACAATTCTACGCTTTTATTTCTACAACACAACCAAATTATACAAAAAAATGTGGCGCATTGATTAAGTTGAATGAGGATTGTCGAAATTCGCTAAAAAGTTTGGGTTTTTGATACTGTCGGGATTATGGTTGTCGGGTTTTTTACTATGTCGGGATTTCAAATTTGGTTGTCGAGATTTCGGTATAGACCCACTTGCGATCATTCCAGTCTAATCTATAGTTTGTGTATTAGATTCAGTTTTAATACTGTATTAACTTACTTTATTAAATTGAAATTAGTAATTATGTAAACTATCACTAATTGTTGATTATATAAAAGGTATATACAAAGGAGAAGAAACGAAAACAACAAAAAATGAACGCACAGAGAGAGAGAGAGAGAGAAAAAGGGATTTTACAACATCAAAGTGATTTTATTTTCTGATTGCGCCATCCTTTGTCGTACCGAAATAAGGAAACCGAAACGCGTGCTGCACCAAAAATATCGACGAAATATTCTGTGGACTACTAATTTCCTTCACTACTTTATTGGAATACTTTATAGAACTTATTTAACTGGACGTTAGAAAGATATTTGTGATCGGTTCGGATCAAAATCCCGACAATTAAAATCCTGACAACCATAATCCCGACAGTGTCAAAATCTCGATACGACAGTGAAGGAGAGATACCGGCAGTAGAAGTTGTTCTCAATTCATAACTGTATACTTTATGTATGTATATTATAGATAATTTCAACAATTCTATGCTTTTATTTCTAGAACACAACTAAATTATACAAAAAAATTTGTCGCATTGATTAAGTTGAATGAGGATTGTCGAAATTCGCTAAAAAGTTTTGGGTTTTTGATACTGTCGGGATTATGGTTGTCGGGTTTTTTACTATGTCGGTATTTCAAATTTGGTTGTCGAGATTTCGGTATAGACCCACTTGCGATCATTCCAGTCTAATCTATAGTTTGTGTATTAGATTCAGTTTTAATACTGTATTAACTTACTTTATTAAATTGAAATTAGTAATTAAGTAAACTATCACTAATTGTTGATTATATAAAAGGTATATACAAAGGAGAAATAAGGAAACCGAAACGCGTGCTGCACCAAAAATATCGACGAAATATTCTGTGGACTACTAATTTCCTTCATTACTTTATTGGAATACTTTATAGAACTTATTTAACTGGATGTTAGAAAGATATTTGTGATCGGTTCGGATCAAAATCCCGACAATTAGAATCCTGACAACCATAATCCCGACAGTGTCAAAATCCCGATACGACAGTGAAGGAGAGATACCGGCAGTAGAAGTTGTTCTCGATTCATAACTGTATACTTTATGTATGTATATTATAGATGATTTCAACAATTCTACGCTTTTATTTCTAGAACACAACCAAATTATACAAATAAATGATTAAGTTGAATGAGGATTGTTAAAAAGTTTGGGGTTTTGATACTGTCGGGATTATGGTTGTCGGGTTTTTTACTATGTCGGGATTTCGGTTATCGAGATTTCGATATAGACCCACTTGCGATCATTCCAGGCTAATCTATAGTTTGTGTATTAGATTCAGTATTAATACTGTATCAACTTACTTTATTAAATGGAAATTAGTAATTAAGTAAACTATAACTAATTGTTGATTATATAAGGGTATATACAAAGTTATGTTTTTGAAGTTGAATAGAAAATCAAATGCGAAGTTGTGTAATTGGTAATTTTAAGTTCTGTTTTATGCAGAGGTTTGACGAGGTTTAGGATCTGATTAAACTAAACAAATTGGCATTAGGTTTGATCAAATAATTGCTGGCAGCTTATTACGGCGTTAGCT